ACCCCCGCCCCGGTCCGGGTGCCGGTCCCGGTCCCTGGAGTGGGCTGGTTCCCCCGGCACAGCCTTGCCAGGGTGGTCGCCTCAGCTCGGGGGTGCCTCTAAACAGGGGGTGCCCCTGCAGAGCGGGGACCCCTTGGCACAGCTGGGTACCCCCGGGTCAGCAGCCGAGGACCACCAGGCACAGCCGGGCCCTCCCTCAGTGCACCACAGTGATGCCAAACAGACCCCCCAACACCCCACTTTGGTCCCCTGGAGCACCCCCAGCCCGGTTCCTGCCATCCTGCAGCCCACCAGGCTGAAGCCCCCTCCCCAACCAGCTCCCACCCTGGATCTCCCCAGCCGAGTTGCCCCCAGCCCCCCGCTTATGCCCCTTGCCCAACACCCATCCAGGCACCCCCTCCCACAGTGTTGGGGTCCCTCCTGGAGCTGCACCAGTCCTGCCCCAGCCCCTGTGGGTCCCCTTGGCCCCCCATGTGTGGGTCCCACAGATGTGTGTCCATGTGTATGTACACATGTGCCCATTGCACGCATTTGGGTGGCTGCGGAGGGCACGTGGGTGTGATTCTGTAGGTGCCCATGAGCGTGGCACGGAGGGGCTGTGCCCCAGGATGCCCCTCGCCCAGTGCTTTGGCCCTTCCCTGGAGATTGTCTGGATGGGGAGAAGGAGAAGGGCAGTGCCCCCCACACGGGGACCTGCCATGGGTCAGTGCAGAGAGACCTGCACAAGTGGCCTCAGAGCCCTGTGTCCCCTCTGCGTGCCCCTGCCCCAGACCCACCCTGGCCCTTTCCTCTGGCATTTTCTGCTGCTGGGGCAGGGATTGCACTAATTGGCCCTGGTGGCCCTGAGTGGCCCCACCTGAGACCCCCACCTGGGGCTGGGGGCAGTATTTAAGCTCAGGCTGGGGCTGCTGACCTTTGTCTGAGCTACAGGGGCGGTTCTGGCCCTTTGTCCTGACTGGAGAGGAAGGGATGGAGATGGATGGATGAAGAGGAGGAGGATGAGCGATGCAGGTTGGTTGGAGAGGACCACCCACTCCCTCATGGGGAAGCCCCATTCCTGCTGCTCCCCTGCCTCCCAGCCCCACTGCTTGTGTGGGTGCACTGGGTCGCAGCGAAGCCAGAGCCCCTGGGTGGGAGCAGCACCCACCAGCCCCACACGAACCTCCACCCGGGTGTCTTAAGGGGCCAGGAGCAGGGTTTTACAGCCAAACTCATGCTCCACCTCATCTCCATGGCCTGCACTTTGAGATCCCATTGAAAGGTGCTGCAGAAAAGCCTCCTCCGGGCTGGCCCAGGTGAGGGGGCAGGCTCTGCTATTCTGGGGAGGCTCAGCCGTGCCTTTCCCTTTGTGCTGGGCTCTGCAGAGCACTGCTCCCCATGTCCCCCTCCCCCCGGACCAGAGACGGAGAGGGACGGGCCAATGGTGCCCACTTTATCCCTGCCTTTGCTGGGGAAACAGCTTGAACTTTTTCATGTGGTGGCTTCTGCTCCTGAAAAAAAGCGCCCGGGGAAAATAGGCAAGAGGCCCACGCTGAGATGTGGCCTGCTTTCTCCCGTTGCTGAGCCCACGTGCTGGTGCCTGTGGGCAGGGACAGGCAGCCCGTGGCACGCGCGGGGCCGGGGGTGAGTGAGAAGAGCCCCAGATGGGCTGTGTGGGACGTGAGCCCCCCCAGCCCCGCAGGGTCCTGGGGGGAGGCTTGAGAGGGGTCACCCTGGGGACGGTCCTGCTTGTCCGACCCCCGTGCTTGTACCTGTACCCAGGGGAGCCGCGTGGGGTGTGGGGAGCTCTGTGGGGCTGGCTGGCACTGGGGGGTGTGGGAGGGGCCCTCTGCCCAGCCCCAGCAGGAGGAGACAAGGGACATGAGACAGGGGACATGGCTCCGGGCTCAGCATCTCCTTGGGACAGCTCTGGCTGCCCCAGAGTGCTGCTGGGCACACACCCCCGGGGGGGAGAGGGGGTACCAGGGCCCTGAGTGTGGGTGGAGGGACCCCCCCCTCATCCCCTGGCAGTGGGGGCTGTACCCCCCATCAGGACCTGGGGCTGCCTGCCTCCCCTGGCTCCTGTCCCACCTTCGTTATCCGTCTTTTCGCAGCCCTGGAATCACCTTCCTCGCCCCCTTCCCTGCCTCTTGTCCGGCATGGAGCTGGCTCCAGAGGGAAGAAGGCGGGGGGGGGTGGGGGGGAAGCCATCAGCTCCCCCCGCCCTGGCTCCTTACACCTGGCCCACAGCCCCCCGAGCTGGGGGGTGCAGGTGATGGGGGCCAGCCATGACCCCCCCTGGGGTGGTGATGGGGCTGGGCAGGGGGCACGCAGCGGGTTCCTGGCCGCAGTGGGGCTGGCGATGGAGACGGACCTGGGGCGATGCTCTGAGAGTCCACCGTGACCCACCCCCACAGTGGGATCCTGCCCCCCGAGCCCTGGCCCTTGGTGGGGCTCTGGGTGCTTCTGTGGGGACAGGGGGTTTCCTGGTGCTTCAGGTGGTTTTACGGTGGAGAAATGCCCCGCGCATGGGCAAACAGCTCATGGTGGGGCACATCCTAGCCGGGGTCTGCAGGGACCCCCTGGGCAGCACGCGTTGGATGGGATGGTGGTCCCTGGGGCCTGGCAGGGAGGGGGTGGGTGGCCCAACGGGGGGTGACTGGGTGGCAGTGGGCTCAAAGGAGGCAGGAGGCATTGGCCACCAGAGCCGGGGCTTTCTCTGGTGGGGGTGGGTGCCGTGGCAGGGGCTGGGGGTGCAGAGGCGTGCCCGGGGGCCAGCACCGGCGCCTCCATCTGTGCTGCCACCAGCCCTTGCCAAGAAACGTGAAATGGCACTTCTGCTCGGCGGCGGTGGCAGCTGCGGCCCCAGGTGCTCCCCGAGCTGCCAGCACCAGCCCCGGGGCACTGGCGGGAGACACAAATGAGGCTGGGGGTGTCTCTGCCCCCTCGGCTAGTGCTGTCGGCTCTCGGTAGCCAAGAGGGAGGCAGAGCCTGGGTCGGGATGTGCCGTGGCCAGGCAGTGTCTTGGTGCAGGCGTCTTTGGGGTGCAGGCAGAGGGGGGGGCCGTGCGCTGGCCCCTGTCACCGCAGTGAGGTGTTGGGGCGCAAGCATGGGCAAGTGGGGTGTCCCTTGCCCCATGATGTCCCTGCAGCCAGAGATGTGGGACGAGGAGGCCAAAAGCCCATCCGTGGAGGAGCAGAGCTGTCTCCAGGGCGGGGGGGCTCTCACTGGGGGCAGCCTGCAGGTTGTCACCACTGAGATGAGTTTGTCCGTTGCAGCCTGGCCTCGGGAAGAGGGGAGTCTCGAGGGGGGCTTCAATGGCGAGTCGGGGCAGGGGGATGGCACTGTCCCTGTCCCTCACAGGAACTGCCTGGGGCACAGCCACGGCCCCTGAGCAGATGGGGCACCCCGAGAATCCAGGAGAGTGTGTTGTGTCCCCCCCAGACCCAGGGTGGGGGGTGAGCAGCCCCGATGGGGTGCGAAGCTCCATCCCCGTCTGTCACCACATCCCTTGTCACCATGACAACAGAAGGGGAGGCAGGCAGGAGCGGGCTGGTAGCCCTGGGGGGCGCAGGTGGGGGCCATGGCAGGGGCTGGCACCCGCTGGCACCCTGTGCTGGGTGTGGGGGGGGCAGGTGGCAGGACATCTGGGTCCCCTGTGGGCCTGGCGTGGGGGGGGAAGGAGGCTGGGCAGGGCTCAGCCTGAGCACCATGAGCTCCAAACCAAAAATCCTGGGAAGGGGGGGACACGGTGGGCTGGGGCGGGGGCGCAGACACTGCAGCACGGCTGGGCAGCCACTGTGCCGGGCGGTTTGGCACGGCCAGGCTGGGGCTGGCGGGGAGCCCAGCGGGTGAGTCACGCCGCTGCCCGGAGCGGTGCCAGGCAGGGCTGGCTCAGCGTGGTCCCAGCGCCCAGGCCACCGCAGGGACAGTGGCCTCCTGGGGGTGGCAGCGACCCGATGAGAGGGGGACGCGCGGTAGGGCTGTGGGGTGGCGGGAGGGGGGCTGGCACCCTCACCATCCACGTCCCCTGCCCTGGGTACCCTTGGCACCCGTGGGCACGGAGGGGAGCAGGTGACAGCCCATCCCTGTCCCCGCTGGCCCCAGGGAACGAGTCGAGCAGTCTGGGGGAGCACGGGCACCCCCTGCCCTCCCGTCCCACACACCCCCTCGCGCCAGCAGCTCTTGGCAGGCAGCAGAGTGTGTTCCTGGCAGCCCGGCCTCTCCCATCTGGTATTTATCTCCTTCCCGAAATCCCTCCCGCTGCGGGGGGGATGCCCGGCTGCGGGGATGGGGCGGGGGGGGACCCGGGCCCCACTGCTCACTCTGCAGCGTGGCAGCCACCCTGCTGATGGGGGGGAAGAGGCTGGGGGCAGGGAGAAGAGACGAACACCCCCCCAACCCTCAGAAATGCGCATGGGTCCCAGGAGGTCTCACTGGGGGCAGCACCGCAGGGGCACCTTCACCCCGGCCCCAAACTGGTCGCAATGGGAGCTGCTGTCCTGGGGAGGGGGCACATCACCACCCACCCCCCCAGCCAACGCTGCTGCCCGGGGCCTGCAATTGCTGCTCCCGCCCCTTTCCCACCCAAATCCTGGGTGCCCCCAGCCGCAGGAGCCAGGCGAGCCCGTGGGTTGCCCGGGCAACTGCAGGCAGGCAGCGATGGGGAGCGGTCCAGGGGAGCAGTTGCCATGGAGACCGGAGGAGCACGATCGCCTTGGCAACAGTCCCATTCCCCCCCTCCTGCCTCTGGGGCTGTATCTTGAGAAGGTGCATCCCGGCCGGGGTCCCCTGCCCACCGCCCACCGGTGAGTGTGTCCCCAGGCGGGGAGCGGGGAGACCCTCGGGGACCCCCCATCCCGTCCCCCCCCCCACTTCAGGGCGCAGAGGAAGAGGCGAGGCCGAGCTCTGCTCCTGGGCTTTATCACTGCACACACCACCACGCTGCTCCCGCACCTCCTCCCGGCCAAGGAGGGGGGCGGGAGGTGTGGGCTGACCCCCAGCCCCAGGAGGAGAGTGGGGACCCTGCGGAGAGGGAGGGAGGGACCTTGTCCCCCTCCCTGGGCAGCAGAGCGGCTGGCAAAGGGGCACCCTGCATTGCTGCCAGCCCTGGGGTGTCCCTGTAGGCACACGGATGGGGAGGGGGGTGGACATGGTGGCACCAAGGTGTGCCACGATGGTGGCTCAGGCAGGGGGTGTCTCTGTCACCCCACCCTGACGGCTGTGTCCCACCAGCCCGGGTCCAGCCCCTGCCACCCTCCTCAAGGACAAAGCCACACGCTGAAGAATAAGGGAAAAGTCCTGTGTGGCTTTTGAGGGGGGGTCAGGGCTGGGGAAGGGGCACAGGCCAAGTAGCCACTTGCCACAGTGGGGCTGGAGTCTCCGCTCAGGCACCAAGCGCATTTCCCCACAAGCTTTCGTGTTTGGGGGGGGAGGCAGTGTCCTTCTGGTAGGCAAAGCGAGGACGAGGAGGCTATAATTCCTCCCCCTCCAAAAAACAGACAGGGGGGCACACCAGGACCCTTCCCTCCCCACCGCAATCACTCAGCTGGGATTTCTGCAGGCTTTGGACTGGGGTTTGGTTCATGCTGCCCGTCCCTGGGCCTGACACCCCCCCTCCCGCCTCCCCAGGGTGCGCTCAGGCCTGGTAGAAGGGCACCACGCGGTCGATGGGCCCCCGGCAGATGGGGCAGAGGCGGGTGGGCAGGGCCTGGAAGCAGTGAAAGCAGCAGCAAATGTGGCCGCAGCCCAGGAGGACGCACTCGCGGGGCCGCGTCAGGCAGATCACGCAGGAGTCCTCCGGCCCCCAGTCCCCGGCCGCCTCCTCGCCATCAGGCTCCTTGCCCTGAGGCCGCTGCTGGCCACGGGCACGGCGGTAGGCACGGCACAGGGCGTGCAGGAGGACGGCCAGGCCAGCCGCGGCACAGAGCAGGGCAGCCCCCTTCCAGAGCCCACTGGCCGACTCCAGGTCTGCCAGCACCGACTGCCAGTCCCCCAGGCACAGGAAATACTCGCCCCCCTGGGCCGGTGGCTGGAGGTGCAGGGACCCGTCGGGGTGCAGGGCCAGCTCCCCGATGCCCGTCAGCCCGGCCCCCACCCGCAGCATCTCCTCCGTCTCCAGGATGCCCTTGGGCTTCTCCCCGCTCAAGTACTGGCCCAGCAGGTCACGGAAGCCGTGGGCTGGCTGCTGGAAGCGCTCGTACACCGTCTCCAGTGGCAGGCAGATGGCTCGGAGCGGGCTTTCCACGCTCACCTGTGTCACCGCCTCGGCGTCTGGCGAGGCCAGCAGGAAGGGGACAGTGTAGACCTGCTCTGAGAGCACCCGCTCGCTCTCGCTCCTGCAAGCAGAGCAGGCAGTGCTGAGATGTGGGAAACTCTCATCCCGGGGCTGAGCCAAGGGCAGGGACTAGAGCATTTAGATGAGCTGCTTTCTGCCTCTTAGATGGCCCCAGAGGACAAGGGTCTGGACCCACTGGTGCAAGCCCACCCCTGCTGTCCCCTCCCATCGCTCACCAGCTCCGGGCCAAGCTGTTCCAGATCAGCCGATGCTCTTTCAGAAGCAGTTTCTGGATCACGCCCTGCAGCCCCTCATGGTAATGGCTGGTCAGCGCAGCCTTGGCCGGCAGCACTATACCTAAGGATGAAGGGAGGCATCAGGGATGAAGGAGGAGAGCCCGCCCCTGTAGCCGGTGTTGGGCCACAGGGTCTCCTTACCTTCCAGGGCAACGTAAGGCAGGCATCTCCCATCGGCCGCAGACACTAGCGCTGGTAAATCATCGTCAACCTGGAGCTTTGGGGCCTCCTGGAAGAGCAGGGACTGAGTGTGAACACAGGCAGGGGCAGATGGGCCGGCAGTCAGAAGGTGGGTCACGCATAGCTTTGTGGGGAGCGCTGGCAGGATGTGACCTGCTTGATCCCGAGCATCGTGACATTGGTACAAGATGCAGCAGCCTGCAGTCATCAGTGAGGGGCACCCAAACCAAAGGCTCTGGGCTGGGCCGCAGAGGGAAACAGGGCAGGGACAGTGGGCAGGAGAGACACGAGGGACAGGGCTACCTGTATGCGTGCCACCACTCTGGCTTTCTTCCTGTACAGGTAGTAGAAGAGGCCGGAGAAGGCGAGGCTGGAACCCAGACACAGCAGCTCCGCGGGCGTGATGGGCGGTGCGTCCATGGTGCCAGGCGCGGGTGGCACACCTGCAAGGTGAGCGTGTTGGCTGGGGGACGGGGCCGTGTCGGCACAGGGACGGCCCAGTGCCCCTGTCCCCAGGGCGCTGCCGCCCTTGGGCCAAGCCCGCCCGTGGCCCCGGCTGGGGGCAGCCCAGCCCCAGCACCAGTGGAGGAGCCCGGTCGCCCTGGCCAGCGCCCCGTGCCCGGCCTGGCTCCGGACGTGCTGCTCTCGGCCTGCACGCGGGACCGGGCCGAGGCCTAGCACCCATGACCCGGCCCGGGCCCCAGTCGAGGCCTGGCAGCCCCAGCAGGGGCATGACAGCTCCAGCCCGGGCCCGGCACCCCCGATCAGGCTCGGGTCCAACACCCCGGCTCAGACCCAGCCCTCCGGGCCCGGCCCGGCCCGGCCCGGCCCAGCCGCAGCCGCTCACCCCGGCCCCGCTGCCCCCCGAGGCCGGAGGCGCCCAGGCCCGGACCCCGGCCCCGCCGCGCTACCTGCTGGGAAATGTAGTGCGGCCGCGTGGAGCGGCGGCGGGTCGGGAGGCGTTCGGAACTACCACCCCCAGTGTCCCTCGCGCCAAACTACAGCTCCCGGCAGGCCTTGCGTCGGCCGCCAAGGCGCTGCGGCTCCCGGCGGCCCTTGCGCTCGCCCTCAGCGGGGCCCCCGGGCGGCGGAGCGCCCGGTGCGGGACGGGGCGTCGGGGCTCGGCCTGGCCCCCGGGCGGGACGGGGTCACCCGTGCGGGGGTCAGCGGGACCGCTTGGCCACCGCGGGGGCCGGGCGGGGGTGCGGAGCTGCCCCAGCACGGCTCCCGCCTCCCCTGGCCCCAGCCCACCCGGGGCCGCCCCCGCTGTGCCCCGGCCGCCCCGCAGCAGCCGTGCCCGAGGGGTGCTCTGTCCCCGCCGACCCTGCCCCGAGGCTGACGG